TTATTCTCATTTAGCAGACTAAAACCTACCTGATAGTGGTTTGACAGAGAGCAGTGATGTCATATGAACTTGTATCAATTCCCACATATTGAATCAAACTGCAAATAGCTTTTTCCCCCTCAAAGCTGTACTGACTGTATGGTTCTCTGGCAGAAACTACTGGCACTGTTTTAATACTATCAGGCCAGTGTGCCCTACTCAGGGCCTGGACAACAGGCACTGTGCGGGTTGCAAGAGCAGCAGTCTTGCCCATGAAGAAGTGCATCTGTAATAAAGTCAAATGTGATGTCACTGGTGCATCAGGCAATCGATGGAAAGGTCTGCGCACATCCACAGGGCTACCTAGAAGTCTCCAGTATAAAAAGACACTGAAAGGCACAAGTTCATAGCAAGAAAGTACTGCCCTCAAAACTGTTTTTGAGTACATGCTTCATTTGCTGCTAAGACAACTGTGTGTGTTCCCTCACTGCCTTGTGTTAATTCCAGTGCTTTGAGCTGAGCAAGGACACAGGTGGTAAAAACCTTCCACCAGTCCCAATTTCCTGGATGTTAAAGAAGCAACTGACATAACAAAGAAATGCAAACATGAAAACCAAAGGATGCAGTCTATTCTACCCAATCATGGGATGAATCTAACTTGGTTATGTATGTTTCAATTTAATTACTGGTGGGGAATAAGTATTGTGGAAAAGACAGCAGGACAGAGTGCCTACCACCTGTATATGTTAATTATCACAGGGACAAACCCTGCTCTGAACACTTGGTGTATTTTCTGATTTCAGGGAGGATGGAAGCACCAGTTGAAAATTATGCAGGAGATAATGGAGCACACCATATTTTGCTATGATGGCAGACTTGATTCTCAGCTTCCTGACACCCCGAGTAGCTATTTGCATTGGGGTGCTAGGAGTACTACATGTGTGCAATGCAGTGTTACAAGGTTAATTACAGAGCTCATACTTTGTGGAGTTGCTACAAAGGAACTTATCATACACAGCAACGTGTCATCAAGAATTACACCCGTTGCCAAGAGTGCCCCAGATTCTCTGAGATAAGACATCACATTAACACAAAGCAGTGTCCAGCAAAAATTAAACTGCATAGCTAATTGTAATCCCCATTGTTAGTATTCCAAGACCAAACAATCTGGACCCTTGAGTACAGCATGCAGATTCTCTTATCACCATCTTCTCAAAAAAGATTGTTTGAGAAGTTTTCTTAGCTAGAATCACTACTTTGAGGCACTATATCCACTTCTCACCTTGCTGATCCTTCCCTCTCTCTCCTACGTATCCAAGGCACAAGCCATTGTGGGAGAGAAACAAAAGCCAACTCCATCTGACACTTTCAGTTTCTTCCAGCCTTAAGATGACTTTTGGACCAAATGTGATGCCAATACACTTGCTGCACAGGCAGAATACATTTAAGGAGATGTTTTTTATTTAAGTGGACATACTATTTCTAGTCAGTTCCCTAAGGGTGTCTTCAAAGCCACAGGAATACCATTTTGGGGCAATCTCAAAAATTATAAAGTCTCCTAAACCTTAAAATGGGAGGATATGCCACAAAAAATGTTACTGTCAAGCTTCTGGGCTACAAAACTGATTACACTAGCACAACCTGTGCAAAACTCTAAAATTAGAAAGCATCTTGAAGCAAGATGGAACACAGAAGAACACTCTATGGAATGCATAAAACCAAACTCAAACAGCATGAAAAAAAGTAATTTTTATTTTTATTGTTTACAAAAGCATGAACACCTTATGCAAAAGCAGCATCCTGAACCAGACATTTCCCTCATCCTCTTGGGACATTGGCAAAAAGCAGGTATTTCACTGTTCTTTAGGATTAAATGTACTCTGCTGAGGTAAACAGGGAACACCTTACTGATTCCCTCAGAGCTCTGACTGCTTCCAAGGCAAAGGGACCAACTCACCAGACCACAACACAGTGAGATGTCATATGGGTGACTTGCTCTAGGTGCCAAATTGGCTTAGCCTGCTTCTAACCAAGACAAATACACCATCCAGATACTTCATAAACTCCCCATTCTCTTCAATTTTAACTGATATAGATCTGATTTTAAATACTTGTTTAAACATTGACTTCCATCCCACAATAACACCATGAAAGCTTTAACTTTATGCACCATGAACAACTTTACTCGAGTTTTTTTAGAGACAGCAGGTAGACTCATAAGCTCTTTTAAGAGCGACACCTTTCAGCACAACAGCTATTTACTCCTTTCTTACCTGCCTCCCCAGCACATGGAGGTCAAGTTATCACTCTGAAGAAACCTGCCCTAAGGTTAACCTGAAAAAAATGTGCAGCATTTTTACTTTGCCTTCATCTTCTCCTGATCTGGAGCTGGAAGTAGTTAAATGATCACATAATCAAACAGGGCATACTTTGAACCTTAAGAAAAGTATTTATTTATTTCAGAAGTATTTTGTTCAACAGAGAATTTGACCGCAATGACTTCAAAAACCTGGAGCAAGAATGATCTCTACTATAAAACAACATAATTCCTCAGCTCCTCTGAGCTGAGGTTCCTCCCCTCAAATCTACAATTGAAGCCTCAGAGTATTTATTACACTGGGAGAAATGGCTCTGGCTTGTCTGCCATCGTAGGTCTAAAATGACTGACAAATACTATTTACTTCTGCAAGACTGATACTGGATCTGTGGATCAATGAAAACTGCTTCATTTTACTGCTCGAGCTGTAATAGCTGTTCTAAAATAGCTCCTGTCAACTTCACATTAAAGAAATATAATTTAATTCACACACTGAAAGAACCTGGTAAGAACCCATATGTATATACACTGCATGTATACACATATACATACACACACATATGTAGATAATTTATATTTATTTTACACTGACAAAGTACTAAAAGAATCAAACAACTGTCAGTGCTAGAGATGAGGTTAAATGAAATAGTATCACTTATATGGCATCAAATAATTAGAGACTCTGGTCCAAGAGCTTCAGAACTGTTAGAAAAAAAACAACAACCCAAAGAAACAAAACCTTCATTGGTAAACAAAGAAAAGTTCCAAAGGGTTTGAAATTATCTTTTAAATAATATGAAAGTATTTATTTAAAAAAAACCAAAAACCAAAAGTAACATGCAAAGTAGATTTTATCATTTAAATTTCAGTTGTGTATAGCAAGCACACGCATTTATACAGAAATTCTATTACTTCCATGGCAAAATTCTGAGGTGCCGTGGACTCAATGATGACTTTAATGAATCTGGCAATATCTCACATGTGCATCATTGCCTCAAATTTTGAAAAAGAAAATGCTGTACAAGTTCAGCCCTGTATCCTGTGAGTCTGGCTGCATAGTCAAAACCAGAAATATTGCACTCAAGACCATGCCTACAAAAATGCACATTTAATAAGGCCATTAGAGTCAAGATCATAATGGGACTCAAGTTACATGAATGATCAAATATATCATAAACAGACCTAGGAAAACCATATTGCAGAAGATGGACTCAAAAGAGCAGTGTTCCATCAATTTGATAACTCATTATTTTCCCCATGAACTGCCAAACTCTCAAACTACTGTTGTCTACCCACAGTGCCAGACAACCTGTGTATGTATGCATACACTCCTGCAAATGGGTTGTTTATTTTTTTTAAGTTACCAAGTGCCCCATAGTTTAAGGGTAGGATTCTACTCAAGTTCTGCCAATAAGGTTCAAGTTGTTACCAACTTTAAGCAGCTTCCATGCATGATGAGGGGAGAAAAGATTTTACTTCTGAGTTATTTAAATATTTGCCAACATGCAAGACATAATTCTTACTTTACAAAATGTAGCAAAGGCGCAATTCAACCTGTAATGGAATACTTTCCAGTATGCTCTTGCAGAGCTAGATCACATGAAGATTATCAGCTTATCAGCCCTGGCTTACCAAAAGAAAGACAGAGCAAACAACCAATCCAACACAGTACAAGGAATGATACAGATTTACAGGTTAGCTGCCCACATCTCATGGCAAATAGAAAGAAGCTACCCTTTAATCAAACTCGGGTAAGCTACCTTGAATTTACAGTAGGGTAAGTGTATTCTCACTAGCCACGACCTTGAAGTAGCAGGTGTGCTGTAAATCTGTGAGCCTACTTTGTAGTTATTTGCTCCATAGCCAGCCCAAAGTTACCCACCCAGCCAGCATTTTGGCTTGTCCTATACTCATTGCAGGCTGAGCAGCTAAAAACATCTCTCTTAGTAATCACATTATTTAGAAGGAGAAGAACTCTTTCCATATCTTCTTCACAAAAGGAGAAGTAAGAAGTTCATTAACATATCAGATGAGAAGCTGTCTAAAAGGCTTCTACGTATTTTAACAGTTTTGACTAAAAATGATTAGCAGAATCACTTTGTCAATTAGGTTGAAAAGAGCCAAGAGTATTTTGGGAATGTAGTTTCAGAAGCTCATCTCTGGCCATCACATTAAAATGGTGGCCTGAATACTAGCAATCCTTTGTCTCCAAGTGTCTAAACAAATAGAGTTTTGATGTGTATCAGGCAGCAACAGCATTTTCAACATTTTATGCTTCCTGTATTTAGTACTTTTAAACCAAATTCTCTTTCCCAATAAACTGTCTTGTAGTTAGCATGACTGTCCATACATGCAGCATTTCTAAATGGAATTACATATTGTTGTTTCCTCTCCACCATAATATTACCTTACCATTTTCAGTCTCAGTCAGCACCACAGGTTTAATGCAAGTCATGGACAGCAGGCAGCGAACCTACTTTTACTGCTTGCTTCAAATAATGTATTGTTTTGTATTTATATATTCTTAAAATGTTTTCTTCACTTAGCTATACTAAAAGTACCGCTCCAAAGTATAAGTTTATATTGGAAAAGGTTATTGATGACTTAACCAAAAAAATACCACCAGAAATCCCTTTTAATCCCACAGGAAATACTTTTTTCTCTCAAATTAGTTAACTTGTATTTATATTAGAGGACTCCATTATTTCAGAAACCAGTTATTTAATGCTCAATATTATTTTCAGCAGATGAAGAGGTAGGTATATTTCAACACAAGAAAAAAAACCACAAGTGTAATAGACACTCAATGAAATCAAGTAATGTCTGAAAAGTCAAACACTGTTCTGACAGCACATAAACATAATGTGTCTGAAGATACTCTCCAAGAAGGACAAGAAAAGTTGAGCATTCTGATTAGATAATACATCATAATTTGAAATTTAATAATTTTCTGGAAAGAAAACACAAGTATCCAAATGCTATTTCCTTCCCCTCCCTCCCCCAAAGAAATGTGGGTGCCAATAAAACTGCCTGTATCAATGGCATTATTAACTTCTGGACTGCTAAACATGGAATCAACTGCAATTCGTCCTTACATTCACCAACACCAGCAGTCTACAAGTTTACACAGAGACCATATGCATGATAATTACATAATTACAATAGAAATTCAACTTTAGTGTTGTTCTTAAAACAATCTTCATAAATAATGAAAATACCTGTGTTCTAGCTCTTCAGTAACCTAAGGTTAATTGGTACAGATAGTGTTTTTTTCTTCCTTTTATAGACCAAACTGGAGGTTCCTCACTGCCAACAATAGTTAAGGCCTGGATCAAGTTACTCTCCTTTTGCTTTTCCCTTTTTCTGCTTTTTTCCATTTTCCACCACCGCATTATTTTCTGGTTTGCTTATTCCATTTGCAACAGCACCATTTGCTATTTTGCCATTCTTTATGGGTTCCTTGGGCAGCTTATAAGTCCGATAGTAGAAGTTACCAAACAAGAAAATGAAGGTGATAGCATAGAAAATGACACCCCAGTGCATCCATTTAGGGAAAGGACAATCAATATAAATAGAAAAGGCTGTGTGGCCAATAGTCACATGGAACTGCACCTGAAAGACAGAAAATATAGAATCAAAAAGGTCTCAATATGCTCTGTAGGTCTGACTGCACCTATATTTATTGATTAATTAATTATTAAAACTGCTACACTGGGGGATGGTAGGGAAGCTGTATTTGGCTGTAACATCACACGTGCATTCACTTGACCAGGTTAATCAAATTTATTGCAGTACCTGGCACCAGTTTTCATATATAGAAAAATGAGAAGACATTAAGAGACTTGGATTTTTCTGCCTTTTGAATAGGCTTTTGCAATTCAGTTGAAAAAAAACCCCAAGTAAAATTAGACTTTTCTCACACAAATCTATGCTGCATATTTTTAAAGAAATGCAATAAGTATTTCCATCTCCAGGAAGTATTCTAACTTGAGCTGTACCAGACAGCTAAGAACTTTCAGAAGGAGTAGCATCTGTTCAAAGCTCTGCAAATGCAAATCCACCCAGAGGCAATGCCTTCTGTGATAAAGGAAGGAATTTTACTTACCAGTTGCAATATGGTCAAGTATCGCTTCCACCAAAGGTATTTCTGAAATTTAGGGCCACAGGCAGCTAATCCATAATACATGTACATAATGACATGAATAAATGCGTTCATCTGAGCTCCAAAAAAAGCTGTCCAGAATAGAAGGGAAGATTGTCATGTTATTTTGAAAAAAGCCTCTTCTAGTATTTTTCATGAGACAGTAAAAATTATAAAGCACAGAATATGTCAGGCTTCCACCTTCTAAATAATTGACAGTATAGTACAGACCTGACTGCCAACTTGTACTGACACAAACAGCTGTTTGTGCAAGTGGTATGTCACATCTTTCATGGAACCACTTGTGCAAAAGCATTTAGTAAGACTTTTGTTGAACAGACAACTCACATGGATTCCACATTTTAAGTGCAATTGTTTTGCTAATGGATTATTAAAAGAAGTGTCTGACAATATGAAATATAAATTATCAGGTGCTCAACTCAAATCTTTTATATTATAATTAAATGCACAAGGTTGACTTCTCAGCAAGAAATCAAGAAACTCACGTGGAAGTCTGATTAAAGAGGCCAAAAACATCATACAGAAAAAAAATTCACTTGTGGTTTTAAGGTGTTTAAAGGCATTGCCAAGTGAGTTGGTCTAAATTGCTCAGCTTTCATTTCCCTGTTTGTGACTTAAAATATCCAGCATTCTTAAATATATAAACATATAATATAACTCCTTCCAAAATGATCCATGCTGGAAATAAAGATGACAGCTCTCATTTGCAGCAAGAAAGATCTCTTTGCTCTGTGAAATTTGGAAGCCATTTAACAGAGACAATATCTTCTTAAGGTACTTCTTACACTGCCAGAGAGGCTCAAAAAGGCTGTAAAGTGTAAGATCTGGGCAACGCAGACAACAGCTGTTGACATCAAACAGTTCAGATGTCCATGTGGTCTAGACCCAGTTAGTTATAACAGGGTCTAGTTTATAATAGATCTGTCTATGTAGGCGAAGTGCTATCAACTAGAAAACAGAAAAACACAGATATCCACATTTATGCAGTAGCACGACAAACACAGAAGAACAATTGTTGCTTTTCCTTTTGCAGGAGCTAAAAATGAAGAGATAAAACTTAAAATACATTTGGAAATAGTTGCAACTGTTCTATTGAAACCTTCAAATGTTTAGCACGAGAAGTCTGAAGAGGCAACAAGAGAGAGGTCATTTCAAGATACCCAGGGACTTTCTAAGTAAGACTACAAGTAAACATTCAGTCACCAATAAATTTATTTTGTGGGTGCAGTAGCTACAAAAGATCATGAAACATCTGGCTGAGTACCTGCATCCTGCAGATTACTTGGGAGAAATTCAAGGATAGTCACAAATACTAATTTTAAATCTTCCTTCTTTTGAATATAAGTAAGCACTCAGTACAAGGTATCTATGGTAAATGAGAGCATAAAACCCTATGTACTAAGTATTTGTGTGGTTTGACAAGAAAACCAAAATGTTAGTTTGGTGTAGTGTTTACTGCATGTTATTTCAGGTGTCTTATGTCTATAAAGCACATTACAAGGAAGATAGCCTATTTTACCTGAACCATCAGCTCTGTAGAGCTTATAATTCGTGAGACACAGGGCAAAACAAGAGAAATCAGGGTACAATGTAGGCAAGGGAGAATGTTTCAAGTAGAGTGGAATAAAATTACTTGACTGGAGCTTCAAAAAGGAAACAGGAAAAAAAAAAAAGGCTCATAATGAATTATAGAATTGTGTCATTATGCATAGGTTTTAAAAGTTAACTGACAGATTAATTGGCTCACCATCAAGGGAAAGCTTCAGAACTTTATGCACACCTCTTTCTAAAGAAAACAAGCAACCCCCAAACTCAGATACAATGCCAAAAAATAATCTCCATTAACTTCATTACATTTGCATACAGGTTGTGGCCTGTAATTGGATTTTGCAGTTCTCCATAGCTACAAAAATGTAAGTTAGGCAAGACATGTTCATCTTCCTGTTTCACACAGAAGGAGGATAACTTTGAAGACAGAACTTCAGGATTCCAACTGATGTCCATGAGGAAAAAAAAAAAGTTTTGCAATTGATTAGATTATTGCCCTGTTATCTTTTCCTCCCCCACATTTCCCACAGAGGAGAACTATATGCATTAAAGCTACTGCACTGCTTCAGTGCTATCTAAACAGCCTTGTATATTACAAAGTTAAGTCTTCAAAAACTTTTTTCCATTGCTTGCAAACAATAATAATTCTCCCTAGTGTCCAATCAAAAGGGTATTGGAGGAAGGGAACCCACCTTGTCCACCTGCAACCCACTTAATACCAATCCACCACAAGGTGAACATGGTGAAATGGTGATAGACATGAAGAAAACTAATTTGGTTAAATTTCTTCCTCAGGATGAAGAAAACTGTATCCAAATATTCAATTCCTTTAGAGACATAATACCACCATAAAGCAGCAGCTATCTGTAATGAAAAAAAAAGACAACACAAGTTTTAGTTATTTCAAGCTGAATGTAATTAAGTTCTCTCCACATATCAGCTGCAAGAGAAGGATACCTCTTCTTTCCCCAAATCCTGGTAAATTTTGCGGTAGAGACATGAAACATCTGACATTTTAAGAACAACAAAACCAATACTCCATCTATTCTGGACATGGAAATATTATTCTGAGTCTACTGCTCACAAATCACAACAGTGAAAAGGAGCCAATATAATTAAAAGCTCTGCCACCTCTGAACAGTTTACATAGGGAGATAAACACAGGTAGTTGTATTTCAGTCTCTGTCCCAAGCTTTCCAGGAGAAGACTAGCACAGGGCTTCCTGTGCTAAGGACACAGCACTTTGACAGGGTCAGAACAACAAGGCAGAAACATAATGATAAAATGAAATTGCAAATGTTGAAACCTTATATAGAATTCTTCCAGTACCACAGGCATATGGGTGGGAAGATTACAAATCCCTCTTACAAACTAGGTGTGGTAGGGTACCCACAGGTTCTTCTAGTCTGTTCAGCAGCCCCCTCTGGAAAAGCAGCAATCCCTCAGTGGCTCTGTGCCATTCAGGGAATAGAAGAAATGAGACCACGGGAGCCACACAAACTGCAGAGATCTAGCTCATCTACCCAATACAGCCATGCTACACACCCAAAATTCTTTTTCTAATCTACCCATCACAGTGACTCTTGCCCAAGATCCAACATAAACATGACTTCCTCCTGAAATCAGGATATTGTTTTATTGTTATAAAGCCCAGAATCTCTGTGTAGCAATTTGCTAATACTAGGATATGGGGATATGGTGGTGGTGGGGATTCCCTTCCAGATCCCAAAGCATAGCAACAAGTCTAGTTCCTGGCATGGTAAGTCATCTAGCTTGTTATGCAGGGATGGGATGAGAACATATCCCAGATGGTGACTCATACAGAGATAGAGAAGAAAAAAAAAACACAACAAAAAAAGGAAGTTGGAAATGGCACCACCAGCAAGGAGAGCAGACAATGCCACAACACACTTATTTGTCAGAAGTTCATCTGGTCTTTCAGGACTCATCTGATGGGGGAGCAGAATTTCAAACCTTAACACGGTAAGAAATAATGCCACCATCCCCTCAGGGCCCAAGGGAAACAGAAGAGAAAACTTAAGACAGCAGTAGCTTCCCCTCCCAAATACACACATCCAATTAGGCAAGTGAGATAAAAGGGAATCAGGAGAATGAGCAGTAGAAAGCAATGCTGCAGCCCTGCATGGTGTTTTCTTCCATTTCTCCAAACTAATTGGAAAGGAACACATCTCTCCTCAGAGGGTCTGTCACAGCAGTAACTGGACTGGTGAGCAGCTAGGAGAGATTTCAGCAGAAGCAAAAAGCAGCACAGGAGCAGAACAGTGCTGCAGATCTGCATTGCAGACTCTGCAGTTTCCCAAAGGGACTGCACAACTTTCAGTTGCCAAATTGCAGCCTTCTACGCATCCATTGATGAATACCCATTTCATTCTCTGGATGTGATTTAGCCTACTTCAGGCTTCAGGAAGAAGATTTCTATTTTGTCAATTTTATATTAAAAAAGATCTGTCAAAGTTGGCATGAGGCTTAATGAGAGAAAAGTGACTCCTCACAGATCCTGGAGTTCCCAGACACAAAGGCAAGCTGCAAGAACCATCCACATGTATATATATGTTGCTCAATATCCAATATAGTTCTGCTTCTAGGACAGGTAATCAGGTGTTATAATAACACCCACATCAAGGCTTTGTCTCACACCCATGAGTTAGCGTAACAGTCCAGCATCTTTTACAGTTCTTTGCTAAAGCTGCATCTATCAAATAAATTAAGATCAGCATATTTTCATCTCATGTGTTAATAATAAACATTTTGGATCATATCCATAAAATGACAAGCCAGCACAACAATACTAAAGCTCTTTGGAGGTTCTCTCTCTTCTGAGAGACTTCTAAAGAATCAACAGGGCAGTTAGAAGCAAACTGCCATAAAATCTCTTAGAAAGCCAAAGTGCATTTTGTTAAAGAAACACTGGAACAATAAGCCAAATAGCCAAGAAGCAAAGAGCCATTTTACTATACAACACAGAGCTGAAACAGAGAAAAATCCAACAAAATCCCTTGTGTTTTACACCCAAGATGCTAGTTTCATTGCATGCTCTTAGATGAGTAATTTTGCACATCTCATTCCTCTTCTTTTGAATTCCACCTGCCTTGCATAAAAAACAGTTACAGTCCGTGGATCAAAATCAGCTGAACTTTTGATCGAAATGCTTCCCATCACTTAAGAACACAAATGGAGGTTGTGGAGTCTCCTTCACTGGAAACATTCAAAACCCACCTGGATGCGTTCCTGTGTGATGTACTCTAGGTGACCCTGCTCTGGCAGGGGGGTTGGACTAGATGATCTTTCGAGGTCCCTTCCAGCCCCTAAGATTCTATGATTCTATGAAATAGCATCCATTTCTTTGCAGGATTATGCCTGCTGATTTTTGCATTCCTGTAGATTTTTTTTTTCTGACAGCTCTTTTGCTCTCTTCCTACCATCAAATTTTACTACTACTTATATTCTCAAACCTAATAGGTGCTGTGCACCCATGATCTACTTCAATGCTCCCAGTGACCTATGTAGATGTTTTGATCATTATACATGCAGAAAAAAAGGAAACAGTTGTTATTTGTCCGAGGCAGACACAGGGAGAGGGCAGAAATAAAGCAGAACAATACTCTGCTACATAATCTATGTCAGGAGCAGATGGCTACCAATAAAACTATTTTGCAAGACATCAGAAGTTAGGACCTAACCTGTAGCCTTCTTTGGACACAGTATGAAATTCATTTAGCTCAAAAGAAAATACATTAAAAAGGCATTGATTCCTGAAATGAATAATACTAGTCACAACCATAACTTTTCTAGCAATTTTAAATTTTTTTTATGAGCCAATCCATGTCTGTTACAACACCAGATGGCACAGGAAGATTACATTGCAGCCTAGGATTAAGGGGGTCAACAAGAGGTTCAATCCCATGACCTCTGCCTACTGCAGGGCTTTTGAACAGAGGACTCTTAACATAGGACTCTGTTCCTGCACCCTCCCTCCTCATTTTGGGTTGGAGAAAGTTATCCATTAAGGGGTTTGAAGGGAGAGCTACTTCTTAGAAGGTAACTGTAACATGAAAAATTTAAGTGGCTTTTAAAGAGAACTCTTTTCCCTGCTTCACCTATAAAATTTTGTTTACAGGACTATGAAGTCAATTTTGTTAAGTCAAGCTCCCTCTTCAATGAAGCTAAAGTAAACAATTACTATATTTATTTCATAAAAGTGATATATTCAAACTCTAGATATAAACACAAACAATGTAAAGCTGAACTATGGTTGTCTTCTTTATCATGACAGCACACTTAAAGCCAGGAACTAAGTAATTCCCACAGCCTCAGATTCCCAGTTCTCAGCTCTTCAGAAATTATAATAAAATAGATGAACCTTGAGCTGGGAAACAAGGGTACATAAATGTTAGCAGAAGGGGAAAGTGACTACTCACTGACACTCATATGTTTTAGCTTAGTGTTAGGAAAATGTTCTCTCCAAATACTGGAGCTTCTAAAGGAGTACTGCAAAGCACAGTTTTAACACCCTGGCCCTTTTGACTCCTAAACTATAATCCAAAAAGTTCTTCCAAGGTGCAGCTTCAGCTCCTTTAAAATCCCTTTTTGGGGATTTCTTCTCTTTTTTCTTTCTTGTTTACTCCAAACATTTTTTTTATATAACCCATTACAGAACACAATTCCTTAAATTCCTTCCTGCAGTCTGTAAGGTGGCTACCTACTACACCCAGAAGATACACACTTTAGAAAGGAAGTTATTTCTGCAAATACGTCTGCAACTGCAGAATGTAATTTCCACTCTTGCTTCCTCCAGTCACCCTTGCCTAGCATTGTAGAACAGCCACCAGGGGAGCCTGGATGAGCCTGATTGAAAAGTGGAGGGAGGTTCAAAACAATAAGCAGGAGGACCGATTTCCTCATACCATGTGTTAACTACCTACAGAATTAATTGTCAGTGGAAGTCAGAAGCTTGGTAAAGGTGAAGAAAACATAGAGACAAGTTAATGGAAAAAATACCCCCTTAAAAACTGGCAAAACAAAGAGGCTATGTCTGACTTAAGAGGTCTGTGAGCTACAGATCACTGTGCTAGGCTATAAAGGGCAAGTGCCACTACATGTCCTTAACTGTTCCCTTGAAATCACCATTGGCTCACTGTATTGACACATGATGTGGGTTGGAGAAGAGAGGGAAGGCATTCTCTGGCACTAGCTCTCTAGCAGCTCTCTGTGCTCCTTTAAGGAAAAAAGGATGGTTTCTTGACCGCTCATTTTGAGCAACAGCTTTGATCAAAAAGGGCCACTATATAGCAAAAAAATAGTGGCCCATTCCAGAAAAGATATAAACAGAGGTCTCATACCAGGGCTTCTATGTTGCCATTCAGACAGCACATGCAATTAGTCTCACATTTCTCAGTATTTGCTCCAGCTTTCTTAGCCCTACAATAAAGTCATATATGAAGCTGCTGCTTTCTAGAGCATGTTCATTACACTTCCTGGGCTCGGTGCCATTTTCATCTGGGTTAGTCCCAGTCTCCTTTCACCTGACTAATACAAACTGGCTTATTCTTTTACAACTAAGGTTACTGCATTGCAATTAATTCTACTGTTGCAGTGCAGTACTGCTCTTCAAAGAAGACCAGTGCCAACAGACACTAGACACTATGTATCTAGACCTAGTAAGAGGATGTGCTACAATGTTTATAAATTCTAAACTCAAAACTGCAAAAAGCTCACATTTATTTATGTTTCAAAATATTTTTTTTTCAGGTTTATACTATGAAAAAAATATGGAAAAAGAAATCTTGAGGAAGTTTGGGAGTATTTTTGTCCTACAGTGTCAAAACCCCACAAAATACCTTCCAAATGCAGAGCATGATACACTCTAAAAGTGGGACAGAAATGTATCCCAGACTCCTTGGTAAGATAAAGTACGCTTGTAGAAATTACAGTTTTCTACTTGCAACTTGCCTGAATAGAGATTTTACTTAGAAGAGCTACCACATAATTATCAAGATCAGGGTCTTGACTGATAACATACCATACAATTGCTGCAACAGCTAAAGACAACTCAATTTTCCCTCCTTTCTCAACTGTCTCAGTTGCAAACAGAGCACATTGCAACTTAAAACTCTATTTCTAAAGTTCATGGAAATCCACAAGTTTCAAAAAAGCTTAAAAAGTCAGGAAAAACAAAGAGTAGGTATTGCTAGAGCAACTTTTTTTTTTTTTTTTCTGGACAAATCATATGCAATAAATAGATTGGTCATCTTGCCTTTATTTTATTGTACAATGCTTTGTTTGTCACAATGAACACAACAGAACCATGGAATCACGGAATTGTCCGAGTTGGAAGGGACCTCTAGAGATCATCTAGTCCAACCCCCCCGCTAAAGCAGGATCCCCTAGAGCACATTACTCAGACTGCAACCAGGTGGATCTCGAGTATCTCCAGAGAAGGGGACTCCACAACCTCCCTGGGCAGCCTGTTCCAGTGCTCTGTCACTCTCACAGTAAATAAGTTTTTCCTCATATTTAAATGGAACTTCCTATGTTCCAGCTTGTGCCTGTTGCCCCTCATCCTGTCACTGGGAACCACAAAGATGGACTGAAAACAGTCAATCCAAAAGGACTTAGGGGTGATGGTGGACAAGAAGCTTAACATGAGCCAGCAACGTGTGCTTGCAGCCCAGAAAGCCAACCATATCCTGAGCTGCATCAAAAGAACTGTGGCCAGCAGGTCAAGGGAGGTGATTCTCCTCCTCTACTCTGCTTCCCTGAGACCCCGGCATACTGCATCCAGTTCTGGAGTCCACAACATAAGAAGAACATAGAGCTCCTGAAGAGAGAGCACAGGAGGGCCACAAAGATGATCCAAGGGCTGGAGTACCTCTCCTATGAAGACAGGCTGGGAGAGCTGGGGCTGTTCAGCCTGGAGAACAGAAGGCTCCAGGGAGACCTTATAGTAGCCTTCCAGTATCTGAAGGGCCTACAGGAAATCTGGGGAAGGACTTTTTACAAGGGCGAGGAGTGAGAGGACAAGAGATTATGGATCAAGACTGGAAGAGGGAAGACTTAGGTTAGACATTACAAGGAAATTCTTTAGTGTGAGGATGGAACAGGTTGCCCAGGGAAGTTGTGGAAGCCCCATCCCTGAAAATGTTCAAGGCCAGACTGGATGGGGCTTTGAGCAACTGGGTCTAGTGGGAGGTGTCCCTGCCCATGCAGATGGGTTGGAACTAGATGATCTTTAATGTCCCTTATAACCCTAGCCATTCTGTGATTCTTTAGAGCAGGTCTGACTCTTCCACAGGCTCTCACAAACAAGTGCACCTGAAAGTGTGGCTATGAAACAGAATTTTAGCATACTAAATGTCATTACTACTTGTACTTAGCTAATATAAAATTCCTCAGTATGTACCATCCCAGTCCTCAATGTCATCCAGCTGAGTAGAAGGACATTTATTTGGCTTATCTATTGAAGAAAAACCCATCAAGCATTTTTCATACTTGGCTAGATTTTAATTTTTAACAAAATTATGAACAGAAAATTGTAATCACTAAAATAGTGAGTTATATTATTGGCAAAGGTTAAATATAGGTGGCTACCATAAGATAAATACAAATCTACGCACAGAGTTGTTCTGCAACATCAGCCGTTATACATAAGGTGCAAGACTCAAACCTATCCTCACTACTACCCCTCTCATATGCACAAGCTTTTGAGTAATACTGCCCATGAACAGCCACCTTGAAGACAGACATTTTTCAAAACATGCTATAGGTATTAAATGTATTTAGACTGTAACACACTTTCACCTACAGATTAGAACATGCTCCTGAAAATGTAATGAAACTTCCAAGAACAGCTGAGAGATTGTCTGCTGGAAGATAAGGTTTAGTGCATGAGCTAATCAACAGCATTACAGAAATTACAAGCATCTGCACTTTGATTTTAATTTGAATGCTTTCCAAAGAAACACACATTTGAAATCTAAGCTTCTACAATAACATTTACTGATAATACATTTGCCAGAAACCAGAATGACCTCACAAAGCCAAACCTGGGTGAAGGAGGCAAAAAGCTGCCTCACCAGCATGAGTGAAGTGCAACCACAATATACGCTGACAAATCTGAACTTGCTTTGATCTAGACACTACAGCTTTACTGTGGTCACACTAGTATCATGAACTTCAGCAAGGTCTAGAAACCAAATTATCTACACAAAGTTTATCCTGGATTGTACAACCACAGATAAAGCCAAGGATGGTATCTTTAAGACTACCCTTACTTGCAGCAGTCAGATGAAAGTTAATGCATACACACTGATACACTTTGATTAAACCTGCTATGTGCAATGTCATCAAACCTGAAATGGTCTGTGTGAATGTAACAGGATACAGTCATGGCTGACTATGGAAACACTATCTTCAGACAAGATTTAAACCGTCATGTAGTGCTATGTATTACATACATTCAGATACATATAGAGAAAATAAATACTCACCCTAACTTCATAAACATTATCTGAATAATCCACAGACTGGCAGACATAGCTGTACCCTCGAGCTCTTGATGACAAGAACAGCTGAAAATATTAAAGTCATGTATGAGGGGAAAGATGCTACATAAAAACGCATTCACAACAATTATCAGCAAATTTCTTGCTACATCAAACTTACCTGAACAGAAGCACTTAGAATATCCTTATCAGTTCTGAGAATACTACTGAAGAAAGCCAACACTTAGTTCTAACACACAGTTGTCTTTTTTTTTCTTGTAAATTAAAAATTATTCATTTTTCACTCTTTGTATCTACCTAGATAATTAGAATCTTGTGCAAATTACTAAGAACTCCAGTATGACCCTAAGCTATTCAAGCATTAATATTCCCTCTGACAGCTCTAGCTTCAGAGATAGAAAATACTAAATTGATTTCACTATGAATGACAGAAATTATATTCCCATGATGAATTCAAGAGAACTCTCTCCAAGAGACAGGGATTAGACAATTTGGATCTATTATTCTTAAAACAGTACACCAATCAAAATCCAATGCTGAGCACTCATAAAACAAATTGAGATAAACTTGATGAAGAAAAGTTCTCCATTTTGTGTGATCAGAAATGGCGTAAAGCACATGAAGTGCTCCTGTAGGGCCACTGCAAATAAAGCACATTGCAATAACCCAAACAGGAGAAGATAAACTTGACATTTCAGTAAGTTCCCATTGGAAAGAAGAACACTTTCTTAGAGCTGTACAAATTTCAAGTAATACTTCTGATGCTGATGTTCATAAACATTATGATCCAGGACTGTTTAAAGCTGGGCAATCCCACCCTATTGAGGGTCACAAGACAACAGTGGAACAGACATAGCCTGTAAATTGTTAGCTGCAAGAGCAGGGTGGTACAAAAAGATCTCCATAACAAACATGGGTAGCCACTGATTATTCTTAACCCTAATCTGACTTCAATCCTACTTAGACTGAACTCAAGTTTACTTTGGTATCTCATCTTGCACATAGCACTAGGAGTGCTGTCACAATGCATAGAGAAAAATGTTATCCAGATAAAACAAACATACAAAACTTGGTGAAAACCTCAACTTAGTTGCTGTACATGTCTGCTAAAGTAGGGAAGTGAAAGAACTGTCCACAGTAATTATAAAAAAAACCACCTGAACTACTTCTGCATAATCCTTTGATCTTAAAGGTCTTTTCCAACCAAAATGATTCTATGATCCGAGTCCATTTACAAACTCTTGTAACACCACTACTCTCCAGTGAGGTCCCAGACACACATGGGCACACTTGATAGTATCAGAGAAGAGCAGGGAACAGTTCAGTTTGCATTGTCACAGAAACTAACCAAGTACCATGACCTACTGGGTAATTTGATCAAGGTTCACTTGGCCACAGGCAGTAAACTGGCTTCACCAGACTGCTTCAGAGTAGAATAAGAAATGCAAGATTCTGTGTCAAAATAGGGGCTACACATCTGGGACTTCTGCATGTTCTAAGCAAAATTTGTTCCTCGTTTGAATCTGAATTTGAGTCCAACAAATTTGAGTCTCGGACCAGACAACCTAACAGTGCTTTATGGACTTACATTTTAACCTCAGCTTGCCATCAGGATGATTATTTCAATAACATTTAAAGGCATTTCAAATTCAAATTCTGTTCTCAGTAATACCCGAAAACTTCTCAGTCATTCACAAAATGGAAACTGTGTATCATTTTACTCATAACAATGACAGTATTAATGTGAGTTACAACAGTGGCACATTGTTACTGTAAACCTCTCATAGATTGAAGCAATAGTTGCCTCATAAAAGGCAACAATTGAAAGTTGAGCACCTTCCTCAGACCAGCCTCCGAGGTCCAGAAAGGGCACTACCTGCAAACATTGTACCCACAGCCTTAATGTCCATTGAATAACAACCTACCATTGAAATACCAGGAAACTAAAACCTGTGTCAAAACTGCGGAGCTTTCAGCCTATCAGCAAAAAACACATATCTGCAGTCCCATTCGTTCTTCTGTTAATTAAGTGATTTGGAAATGCCATACAAACCCCTGTTATCCTATAAGCAATACAGGCTTGAAAATTGCTTGACCACAAATTTGGTATAATTCAGTTTATGGAGAGAAGAAATCAATTTAAAATAGTAAGTGAAAAAGACAGACACAGCAAAAACACTGCAAAATTAATTTAAGAATTTCAGTCTTAACCTGCCAAGATGATTGGATTTCATCCATTCCTACAACTATCCTTGCATGTCAGCATTAAGTTCTGTGGAGCCTGTAGTATTTTATTACTTAGTTGAACAGTGCAAGCAAACGATTTAGAAAAAATTATGACTGAAAGGTGATGGCTAAACTTCTACTGAACCACATCTTAAAACAAGGCTGAAATCAGTTAATGTTTTTATTATAGAAGCTGTGGAAAAGGGTCAATATGCAGATCATCATCAGATATGCCATGCTTTCCTGGCAAAACTACAGAACAGGCCAGCCAGGAACTCTGCAATGCTGTAATTTTAGCTGCTCTGTTTATTTGCTTACTCCTCAAAACGGGTTTTGCAATTCTGTGATCTGAGATCTTCAAGGAAGACAACCCTCGATCCACATGAGCAAAGTCACAGCAGCATAAACCGTTCCTTACCTACAGCTGTATTCTGGAGAGCTATCCTTGTATAATGATTACCAAACTGTTAAATAATCCCATTTAGCTACTGCTAAAGAGCTGATCCACTGCATTGTTATTAGTAATTTCCTCTGCACAGAAAATTTAACAAAGAAGAAAAGTAGCAACAGTGAAATTTCTTAAGATGAACACACTCATAACTTTACAAACAAAATATTAGAAGACTTTATTATTTTCTTTTTTAAAAAAGATACAGTTAATTTTTATTCTTATTCTAAAAGATAACTTACAAACAAGATACTTTTCCTCACTACAGACAATGGATATCTGAATTTCCAAAATGATAAGCCTATTGAAGGCACCAAACAGCTCAATTTCTAACAAGATACTTTAGGATTTCTAACAAGACACACTTTGGAATTATTAAAAGGAAAAATCAGTTACAACTGTTAAACCTCTACAGATTTTAGTTAATCTGTCCAGTACTTACACTAACAAATCTAAGAAGCACACAAAATAGCCAGTACACACATTCTCTCTCCAGAATCATTTAGTACATTTATTCTCAAACAGAATGTACCTAGCTACGAAAATACTCACACCAAATGTAAACTCATCTTTAAAAGTCTGTGCAATACATTCACTCTCAATAGACATTGTGAATATGTAAGATTATTTTCTTTTTGCAATCTGTAGACACCCTCAGACTTAAATAGGAATCCCCTCCTGTGAGAGGGCATACACACCTCTTTGAAAATGAAGAAGTTGAGTAGAACCATTCCAAAGTTGTATACAACCAACAGGAAACGTAACTGGAAGGGCTCTCTTGTCTTCATCCATTTGGGGCCCAGCCAGACAGTGAGAAGATAAATAGTACTTATAGTCAGTGTTGGAAATGGAGACTGCATCAAGGGCCAGTCATCAACACGTTTGTCTGGGGGGAGTGAAGCAAACAGAAGGAGTCAACAAGGTCTAAACAAAATATATGCCATCATTATTTTAAGCATTGTATTTGTTAAGTATTATTATCTGCTGGAATAGCTGCATCAGATAGTAGAAGCACAACACACTCATTCTTTCTAGGAAGGTTAAAGAATATGGTTTACAAAAACCACACTATATCGCCTGACACAGAGATTCGTTATGACATGTAAATTCTATTGTCCAGTTCTATAATCCAAAACAACAAAGCAACAGAATCATGTGAGCCCAAACCCAACCCAGCCCATTAATCCCCCCAAAACTGATTTTGCTTATGATGAATAGTGACTGTAGTGGCAACATAATAAAATATTAAACACCACTGCAAATGAAAGACACACAAATGCAGTAAAATACTAAAATTAATAGCTTTTACTAGTTTAAAATTAAGCACTAGAAAACCTCCAATCAATTTTATACAGGTTGTATGATGCTAACCAAGTACTTTTTGCTATCTGATGTAGGTTAGTCTCATATGTTTCAGACAGAATTCTAACAATGTTGCTGGAATACAGCTAAATTAAAGAGTGTAAAGGGATGGTTCTAGGTAATCTGTGCTGCCATACATGAGATAAAGGCTTTATTTGCACTCTCCTTCAGTCACTCATGGATCCAGAGTTACACATAATCTAGAGCCCAGAACATGCTATATAAGTTCTGGATCTCTATCAAAAAAGCACTCTTAGCCTGATGAACCAGTGACATCTAGGATTAGAAGATGGCTGTGCTACAGAGGAGGGAAGGGAGAGACTACAGTGACACTTACTCAGTATTTCCTTCCCCTCCATTTGAAGGCTAATCTCTAGTTACAGCAAGAGATAAAAGGTAACTATTCCATAACAATCAACACTTCAGATACTGCACAGCGCTACAATACTGACTGGGTTATCTTCCAGATGCTTAGGCCAGAGGGAGTTCAGATGGGAATTGCACCACAGGGCTCCTTGTGAACCTCAGACACATAAAACACCTGCCTTTAGTCACTTGTGGGCAAACTCACAAATAGCAATAGAGTTGCCCATGGATTTACCTAGAAAACAAGTTTATTTTGGAGAACTTTTTTCTTCATGATAACCCAAAGACAGTGAAAAAACCCTACACCACAAATTAGTTCCTGATCCTAAGCATACTAACAAGTAAGTTAGAACACCCTTCTTATCTACAAAAGGAAGAACTCTAATACAGTAAGAAAAGTAGAAAACAGCACTGCCATTACTCCTCCTCTGCTTCATTCTTGTTTCCTTGGTTGCCTTTAAGATCACAAACTAGAACCTGATTTTAGAAGCACATGTCATGAGACCCTCTATTTCTAATAACATGTGTGCATGACACTAACTCTTCATACTTCCAGCTTATTGAGCAATACTTAACGTGCACATTGCAAATAAGATCTTAGGAGGCCTAAAACAAGTGGAAAAGAAGAAAGATAAACCAGTCTAGCTGCTTCCATTAGGCCTGTTAACGCCAGAAGACAGAAGTCATCCTAATGCACAAAACCTTTAGCATGGCTGATGCTGCCAGAATGACGGGAGTCAGCCTTGTGACCACAGCCAACAAAAGAAGCTAAGGGCAAGATAGGGCAAGGAGTACAAGGGGGAGCAGCAAAAAATTCAGATAGATCAGCTGTAGAAACAGGCAATGAAACAGAACTGAGAGCAGAAAGTTAGCTCTTACTTTTCAGCAAGTCCCTGAACAGACACTTCTGTTGCAATACAATGTACTCTCTTTAAAACCCGAGAACGATTGCTTTATAGTACAGCGTAGTGCCTTGGGATGTAAAGGAACAACCACATTCTCCAGACCTCACAGAACATTACCTATTGAAACTGAAAACACATTGCTGCGTAGCAATTATTACACTATCTCCCTTACCCTTCATTTCCTGCTTTTTTTTTTTAGCAATCACTCTATCCATCTGCATTTTAAAATAAAACACGATTTAAAGACAAGAGAAATGGAGAATCTCATCATCCACCTGATATGAGGTAATGGACTAAGACTCATCTCCACCAAGCAAGAAGGTGTAATTTCTTAATTAAGAGACAACTTGGGATATAGCCAACGTGTGACACGCTTTAATAAAACCTGCATCTCACTTCACTGTAGTGTGCAAAGAGTTAAAAGCAGGTGAGACAAGTGAATCAGTTGCTTTCCCAGCCTTCTTGCACTAAGCAATATAAAGAGGCAAGTATTAGAGAATCTGTCTCCTGTTTTCTAACACAATGTTTCATGGAATCCTGAATGCTAAAGAGAAAATACGAAAAACCTGAAAAGAAAGATGTGAATTTTACCTGGAAGCTGAACGTAACCACCCAATGCTGAAAAAGAGGAAAATGTGACCTATTCCAGATTTCTTTTTGTGGCAGATGACAGAGGATTCTAGAGGGAAGAATGAGGATTCACTAAAGGGTGAAAGGAAAGACAAAGAGACAACTTTATGAAAGTCTAGCTGCAAGTGGGCTTTGCTTCATGCTTCCTCACCACTGTAAACAATCCTTTCAACTACTTTCCACAAATACTACAAATTGAAGAAGTCACCTGGAGAAAAACAAGAGATATCTTTAATTGACTCAGACAACATCATAAAAGCACCTGGGCAGCTGCCTTTACAATTCCATACCTATATCATGGTTTCAGCCTGTTACTTCCCCTCTGCACAGGGGTTTTGGACAGTGAGCCACCACATCTCAGAGACAAGTCTTCAAATATTTGCAAGAAAAGCCTATCTTACTGACACTGCATAACACGCTGCCCAGGAAATCTATCTGATGGGGATTTTGGGGACCTGAACTCTCCTCAGACAGTTATGCTTTGAACACAAAATGACTGTAGGGGAAGGAATACAGTAGGCAATTCAGATCTGGAGTACATCCTGGCCAAACCAGAAGTA